TCGTTCCGGAGAACACACCGGAGCGACGGTAAACTCGCCATCCAATCTTTATATCGCAAAGACGGCACAAAATAAGATCGTTCTGGTGAACACACCGGAGCGACGGCAAACTCGCCGTCCGATCTTTATATCGCGAAGACGGCACGAAATATCGCAAAGACGGCACAAAATAAGATCGTTCCGGAGAACACACCGGAGTAACGGCAAACTCGCCGTTCGATCTTTATATCGCAAAGACGGCACAAAATAAGATCGTTCCGGAGAACACACCGGAGCGACGGTAAACTGGCCGTCCGATCTTTATATCGCAAAGACGGCACAAAATAAGATCGTTCTGGTGAACACACCGGAGCGACGGCAAACTCGCCGTCCGATCTTTATATCGCGAAGGCGGCACGAAATATCGCAAAGACGGCACAAAATAAGATCGTTCCGGAGAACACACCGGAGTAACGGCAAACTCGCCGTTCGATCTATATATCGCAAAGACGGCACAAAATAAGATCGTTCCGGTGAACACACCGGTGCGACGGCAAACTCGCCGTCCGATCTTTATATCGCGAAGACGGCACAAAATAAGATCGTTCCGGTGAACACACCGGTGCGACGGCAAACTCGCCGTCCGATCTTTATATCGCAAAGACGGCACAAAATAAGATCGTTCCGGTGAACACACCGGAGCGACGGCAAACTCGCCGTCCGATCTTTATATCGCAAAGACGGCACAAAATAAGATCGTTCCGGTGAACACACCGGAGCGACGGCAAACTCGCCGTCCGATCTTTATATCGTGAAGACGGCACAAAATAAGATCGTTCCGGTGAACACACCGGAGCGACGGCAAACTTGCCGTCCGATCTTTACATCGCCAAGACGGCACAAAATATCGCAAAGAACGGAAACAATCGCAGATGCCGACGGCTGCGGCCTGGTAGATTACTTACTCGGAACTTTCGATCTTCTGGAGGCACTCTGCAGATTCGTTGACGAGTTTTCCTAGACGGTGGATCGCTTCAGACTCTCCGAAGACTCTCCCAAGACTGCTTGAAGCCTGTCCAAAACTCGACTGTCCCAAAGACAAGAACTGTCGGGTTTATATATCCGTCATTTTCTGTCTTCGGTTTCTTTCGTTGATTAATCCGAATTTGATCGAGAGTAATCGTGAGTATGCGACGTCCGCCGCGGATCGTTTTGGCGGCGCCGCGAGTTCGGCTGGGTGGCCGATCATTCCCGAGCGTTGCTGCCGGGTCTTCGGCCAGCCTCGGGTGAGCTCGTTGAATGGCGCGGTGACAGCGCGGGTCGGGGGGCGTGCGCTCAGCTGACTGCCACGTGATGTTCAGCGGCAGTCAGCGTAACGACATATTTGCTGGTATGTGTCGTTACAAGATCAGCTACCAAGGAGAGCTCCAGCGAGAATCGTGAAGAGAATTCGGCGAGAAGGCAAGGCATCCGCCGGTGAGTAAAGCTTCCACACCGTACCGAACCACCGGGAACTTTTACAAGACCCGGCAGCCGAGCCTCGTCGGCCGATCAGGCATCGCGACTTTACCGTACTTGTCCGTCTGTGTCGGCAGCAGTTAGCCACCGGCATAAAATATTTCTAAATCTCTGTTCGCGAATTTACCGTATTCGTCCGTCTGTGTCGGCAGCAGTTAGCCATCGGCACAGAATATTTCTAAGTATCTGTTCGCGAATTTACCGTATTCGTCCGTCTGTGTCGGCAGCAGTTAGCCACCGACACAGAATATTTCTAAGTATCTGTTCGCGAATTTACCGTATTCGTCCGTCTGTGTCGGCAGCAGTTAGCCACCGACACAGAATATTTCTAAGTTCCTGCGCGCGGATACCAGTGCTCGTCCGTCTGTGTCGGCAGCAGTTAGCCACCGGCATAAAATATTTCTAAATCTCTGTTCGCGAATTTACCGTATTCGTCCGTCTGTGTCGGCAGCAGTTAGCCACCGACATAGAATAATTTCTAAGTTCTGTTCGTGAATATAAGTGCTCGTCCGTCTGTGTCGGCAGCAGTTAGCCACCGACACGGAAGATTTCTAAGTATCTGTTCGCGGATTTATACGTACTCGTCCGCCGACGTTAGGCAGCAGTTAGCCGCCGCGCCGAATTAGACTAAGTTTCTGTTTCCGAAAGAACGGCAGCAGTTAGCCACCGTTCCGCGATTTCTAGGTGCTCGTCCGTCTGTGTCGGCAGCAGTTAGCCACCGGCACAGAATATTTCTAAGTATCTGTTCGCGAATTTACCGTATTCGTCCGTCTGTGTCAGCAGCAGTTAGCCACCGGCACAGAATATTTCTACGTCTCTGTTCGCGGATTTATATGTGCTCGTCCGTCTGTGTCGGCAGCAGTTAGCCACCGGCACAGAATATTTCTAAGTATCTGTTCGCGGATTTATGTGCTCGTCCGTCTGTGTCGGCAGCAGTTAGCCACCGGTGCAGAATATTTCTAAGTATTTATGTACGGAATATAAGTGCTCGTCCGTCTGTGTCGGCAGCAGTTAGCCACCGACACAGAATATTTCTAAGTATCTGTTTCCGACCAAACGGCAGCAGTTCGCCGCCGTTCCGCGATTCATAAGTGCTCGTCTGTCTGCGTCGGTAGCAATTAGCCACCGACGTAGATTAATTTCTAAATTCCTGTGCGCGAGGATAAGTGTTCGTCCGTCTGTGTCGGCAGCGTTGGCCACCGACGTAGAATATTTCCGAAGCATTGGTTCGCGGAATTATCAGTGCTTGTCCGACTTTGTGACCGTGGTACGCTGCCCGGAATAAACCACCTCCCGCTTATCCAAAGAACAGCTGGCGTAAGTCGCCCTCAACAGGACTCGTGGCCGAGGACGTCGGACCACCAAGAGGCTGCGGGACATCCCCTCTGACCCCGCGGATAGGGGACCGTCCTTGCGGCTAAGCGGGGAATCTCGGGCACCAAGGAACGGACATCGCCGACGCCACACCAGGCCAGCGAGCCGCCCACATACACTTATATATATATATATATTATATAGCATCGAACGTTTTTTAAATAAACGGGGCGCCTTGCGGGACGCACCCAACTTGTTAACACAGAAACGCTGAACACACATTTCTTCCGAGAAGCTACCTTGAATTAGCCCTTCACCCGACTAACGCACCGACGCGGCGGCGAGCGAGGCGTCGCGGAAGCGGCGAGCCGGGCGCGACGGTGGGGCGACCGATCGCACCGAACCCCGCGGGCGTTACCGTTACACCTTCTTACTTTTTGGACAAAAGGGTGAAAATATATTGTTTTGCCGAATAAGATCGCGTTCTTTGAGATTTCAATGTTCTCGAATGTAGCGATAATAAGATTAGTGTCTATTAAAGTATACTGACCGGGATTCGCTTTGTCTGGACTTTTTCGTTTTAGTCGTGAAACCGATAAAGGTTTCGACCAATATCCGGACCATCCCCTAGGAGCTCTTATGTGATTTAGGATTAGGTCACATTCAATTTCCGTGTCGTCTATACCTCTAATAATAACCATTTTTTGTATTTTAAAATTGGGGATGAAAGCTATCCATGTTTCCCCATTGATAATACTGTCACGTTTGTTCCATATTATCGAGACAAATTCGTTGGCAAGGTTGAACGTAGGAAAGTTTAAACTAAACTTACCATTGCCAGTTTTTCTCAAGTCAAAAGCTGAGTTAAGAAAAGGGCCTATTTCAGCCCATCTAATTAAGTTTTTGCATAGCTTAATACTACCTATAGAACTTTCCAGGTGATTAGGTGATCCTACTTTAATGATCTTTTCCAAGAGAACCGTATAGGGTCCTGGGTTAACTGATTTATATCTATTTTTGATGAGAGTCGCATAGTGTTCAGGTACATCTGAACAAACTTTCTTATTGAAGAAACCACCCTGGGTGGATGGATTGTCTATTTCGGTAGTGTCCATACACAAAGTTAGGCGTTTTTTTGGATTACTCACTTTTTTACCAGGTTCTTGGGCACTGTGAGATCGTTCTTGTGTTATACTTGGGGAGCTGTTAATTTTCTCCATTATCTTTAGTGTGGTCGGGATCCTAGACTTTCTCGAATCCAAGGTGTTGTCGGATTTTCCCAGAGAATTGTCAGTAGGATTTATCAAGTCGTGAAGCCCTTCTATTGGGGCATCATCATCTAGTGTGTCCATTTTTGTTAATATTAGGCAGCGCCTACGAATCCTTTTGAACCCGTAGTAAGCAATATGTTTGATTAGGTTTTAGGCGGGAAAGCCTGTTTGTCCTATGGAAACCTGTGAAGGTTAAGTTTCCTTTATTTCCTCAAGTGAGCCTTAGCAGGTGCAGATCAAGCTATAAATTATTCTCAGGGACATTTCTATTAATATCTACTCTAAATACTGTCACTTATTAATTAGAAGGAATGCTTTCAATCTTATTCCAACAAGAATTTCTTTCGCACCGAATTACACTGTATTGCTATCTTAACTTCCCGTACGAGAGTCAGTCGAGAGAGATAGAGTAGAGATAAGGCGAACAAACAATATAGAAAGTCGCAGTAGCCGTCGCGAGACACGCGAAAGAGTCGATAATCGAATAAGAGCAAATAGTCGGTAGCATTTCAAAGCAATAGGTGGACCGCACCCATAATTATAATAAGTGTGATATTTGTCCGGAGCCACATATTGAACTGAACTGAACTGATAATAGGCCTGTTCGTTTTGTCTGCACTGCTGAATTAGTGCATTAAGTTAAAGTGAAACAAACGTAGATTTTCTCACTTCAACTTGTTGCACCAGTTCAGCAGTGCAGACAAAACGAACAGGCCTATTAGGTTTGTTCTTTTTCGAAACACGTAAACTACACTAGATCTGTACTGAACTGAACTAGGACAGACTGGGACAAACAAATACAACACTGGTTTACATCAGTGCAGAAGTGGCACCAATGATAAAAGAACATTAAAGTGCAGTAAGCAATATGGCGCATTACGCATTATTATTTGATTCTTCAGATGAAGAAGATTTTATGATAATCCCACCGTTACAACCTATCGTAGATGAAAATGATGACGGTAATATGAAATATACGGTAATATTAAATATACAATAAATTTTATTATATTATTAATTTATATTATAAATTTCAAGAAAAAACTAAAAATTAACTATAACTTATATTAAATTTGTAGATCAAAATATATTAATATTACACCCAATTTTAAGTATAATTCAACGAATTGCACATATTAAAATTGTTAATTATGTAGAAAATATTGTACATAATTACAATGATATGGATTTTATAATGCACTTCCGCTTATCACGACAAATAACATACAGTTTAATAGACCAATTCAGAGTTTCGGAAATATTTACTTCCATGGAAAGTAAGTATTATAATAAAAATTTTCATTGTCTTTAAGTTTGGTTTGCAGAAAAGTTTAGATAACTTATATATGATATAGGTTGGAAAGAAAATACTCAGACAGAATGTCTGAAACGGGAATAAGACATCTTTTAGACATCTTACGACCAGATATCTTAAAGAGATCTGAAAGATGTCTTATGTCCCGGTTTTGGACATTAGTGCTGTCTGCGTAATTTACTTTTTAACAAAATAATATATTCTATGTTATATGTATAACTTAAAGTGTATTTTCTTATAGATCTTGTAGGCTCTAAAATTACAGCCGAAAAACATATATTGACTTATTTATGGTTTATAGGGCATGAAAGTGCATCATACAGAGATGTTGCCGACAGATAACACTGGGATAACACTTAATACCTTATATAATATTATTACTAGAGTTACAGATTTTATAATCTCTATTATGCCTAATATTATAAAATATCCAACTGCAGTTGAAAAAATGGAAAAAATGGAAACTGCAGCTTTTTACGAAAGAGAAAAAGGATTCCCTGGTGTAATAGGTAACATATTTATATTCATATATTTTTTAACTATTTTTTTATTACATAGTGATGCATTATTTATATTTGACATTGTTGTAGGTGCTATTGATGGTTCTCATATCCGAATTGATCGACCATTACAAGATTCTGATTCATATGTTAACCGAAAACATTATTTTTCATTACATGTTCAGGGAGTTGTAAATCATAAAATGAAATTCATGGATGTTTTCATAGGATATCCGGGCTCAATGCATGACGCACGGGTATTTCGAAATTCACCAATTCGCAACGATTTGTCGAACTTTGTGAAGGTAAGAAATATAATATCGCAAAGGTAATTAATAACAAAAATTGATACCATTATTTCTTACAAATCTTTTTACAGATAATTATTTTTTATTGGGTGATAGTGCATATCCCTGTTTGAAACAACTAATTGTACCATACAGGGATAATGGACATATGACACATGCACAAAGAACTCTCAATCGCAAATTAAGTTCTTCACGAGTGATTATTGAAAACGCATTTGGCTGTCTAAAATAGCGTTTTCGACAGTTATATCACTTTAAGTTAAGAAACATAGTGCGAAAGGTACAGGTCATACACGCCTGTTGCGTGCTACATAATATTGCAGATATTAATGACAATATTTACAATATTTAGAAGAACAAACAAATGATGAATATCCTGATATTGAAGTTGTAAACCGCACGTGGAAGTGAATGATGCACCTAGAGAAGTATTACAAATCATTTCTTCAAGTATCATTCATTACAAATATCTTTATTAATCATCAAATATCATTTCTTCAAATATCATTTATTACAAGTATCTTTATTAATAATATTTTATTTTATTTCTTTGAAAATAAAACATTTCTTTAAACTTCTATTAAATATTCATACTTATAACATTTTTTAAAAGATTAATATTGATAATATAGAAACTTCAAATACAAACTTCTTGAAATAAAACTTTCATAATAAACTCTCATTTAAAAATAATTTTTATATTTAACTATAAAATTTAAATTACTGTAAGACTTTAACTGATATTAAATAAACATTTCATTCTTTTGTATTGAGTAGTGTAGAAATTCTTTGAGTAGTTGATTTTTTCCTCTTTCAATTTATTAGCTTTTTTAAGTTGTTCAACACATTCTTCTTCTGCAATTCTTATTTTTTGATATTCATTTAACAACTCCTTTTGTATCTCATTCTTAATATTTTTACCTTCAACAATGTCCGTTGACAGTTTGATTTTACTTTTTTGGCAACTTTCTAAAAATCGAGCTGTAGTGCCCATTTGTTTTCTCTCATTTTTTTTAAATAATGTCTGTAACATATGTTTCTGATTAATCTGAAACTAGTTATACATCACTAAAAAATATTTTTGTTCAACTTACTTGTTTGGAACAATTACTTGCAATGTTTTGAGTCTCAAAATTCTGTTTTGAGGTTGGTACATCTGTTGCCAGTGCACTTCGTATGTTTGGCTTATCCATAGATTGATTATCATTATTATCATCTATTGGTCTAAATAAATAGATAATAAATAAGTAACTAAAACATGAACATGAAACTTTACCTATTCTTAACTTTCATTATTCTACATATTAATTAAAGATGTTAGGTACTAGTAAGATGTTATAAGCCCCTATTTAGATTTATATATTTTTTTAGATATATATAATAATATTAAAATAAGTAGGATTTAAGTATGTATGCACTACTTACAAATATTTCTCTATTGCCCTGTCATTTCTTATAATGAGACCTTCTCTACCAGACACAGCTAATGGTTCGATACTGTGTTTTGATCCTAATAATTCAGTCAATTCTCTGTAATAATTATAAATATTTTTTATTAATATATTCCACACAATATTTTTTTATTTTAACTCAATTAACTCAATATATCATACTTACATTTCGTACGGACACGTCATACGACCTCTACCTGTTTTTTTATTATTGGAGATCATATTTTTATAGGATCTTTCGAGAGATTTGTACTTGTCCTCGACTTGAATTACATTTACATTGTATCCTTTACTATTCATTTGTATTGTTATCTTATTCCATAAAAATTTTTTTGTAGCAATTTTTCTATTCTTGAACAGTTTATTCATCTCTTTATAAATACTTAAAAATAATTTTGTATTTGCATCACACCAGGTAAATGTATTATATTCAGTTCATATCGCAGCATCATTTTCTTTATTTGTTTCTTGATCTACAATTACAACATCATCACGTAATGGTATTATTAATGTTTTACCATCAATAGAACACTGTATTTGGTTATAATCAAAATTAATGTTATTGTAACTCAATTCGAATTGTATGCCACCTGCAAATATATCATGTAACTTAATTCTTTATTTGATTATTTACATAATTTGTAGTGTTTAGATAAAAAATTTAATATTTTCAGAGACACAGGTGACGTATCCATTATTAATTATAACATTTCCCTCTACATCCTTCTGTATATGTGCGATTTCTTCATTTCTATTTTCCATTATTTCCTTTTAATATATTTACAAATTTTATTTTATTTTATTTTATTAGGATTATTCAGGAGAATAGTCTTAAGAATATATATTAAGAAAAAAAAATTATTGAAATATACATTGTCTGTGTGAATTGAAACAAATAATTACAATAAAGATGTGATAAAACACAGATTTTCTTTCTTTGACTTGATGCCTAGATACCGCTAAACTGGCTGCACTAGACACCGCTAAATTGGCTGCACTAGCTTAAGATCTGAGGCCAGTGCACTGAACTGTTGCACTGTCCGCTGTTGCACTTCGAAAAAGAACAGCGATGTCGACGTCATTTCCGATAAAACAGAATGCTTTGGTGTACACTTCTTGCACTAGTGTACACTAGTTCAGAAAGTGCTTCGAAAAAGAACAAACCTAATAAGTGTGTTATTGTGTGTAAAAGACATTTTATGTTGTTATTAAATACATTTTATTAAATCTCAGTACTGACTTTATTAAAGATTCAGAACCTGACAAAAAGGAAGTTTAACTGAATAGGATTCCTAAGGATACGGAAGTTGTCTTACAGATTTATTTAGATTTATCAGAAGTGAGACAGACAGAACTTTACAGTACACTCTGGCTGCGTTCGGATATTCACTGCCAGTATTGAAAATACATAGTTTGTGTCACCTATATTATAGATTTTCAGTGCTGGCAGTGAATATCGGAACGCAGCCTCTGTATATACACTAAAGCATATGGCTACCTTCGCCATGCGGCACGGTGGATGCGTCACCCCTGAGCGCGTATATATTGTGTGTTGCTTGCCTGTATTATGTGTCGCTTGTGATTAATTGGAATTTATTACCTGTGTGTTATTTATACAAGTACGCACGATGCAATAGATCAATGAATGACAAGAATTGGCCGATGCATAATTAAAAGCGTGATATATAATTCGCGAGTTCTTATCTCGCGATGGGCAATTGCATCAGGAGTATGCTGAAGAAGCTACAAAGAAATCGTAGCACAGAGAGGTAAGTTTTTACAACCTACTGACCTGTGATAAACATTAGATTTATTTATATTATCTATATACATTTCAGAACCATTATCCTGCTCATTGTGGGATTGGACAATGCCGGAAAATCTTTGATTTTGAATCATATCAGTGGTGGTAAATATCTTGGTTTGAGTAAAATGAAGATATCTCTCAATGCTGGGACAGTATCCAACTTTGAGCATTTTTATTGTTTTGGGCTTTAAATTTGAATATTTAAATTTTTATCTTATACAGCGGAGCTTTTTCTGTGAATGACAAACTTATTTTTCCCAAATTTAAGTCTAAGAGGTTGTAAACTCAAATCTTAAGACTATTTTCAAGAAATAGAGATTATGAATAGTGTTGTCTTAAAAATATAAATGTAGGCTTTGCAAATAAGTTCTTTAATCTTTCATATAGTGTATATTTTTATTTTTGTAGATCCTGATCAAAATGTATTGCCTACAATGGGGTTCCGCATGGTATCCTTAAAGCACAAATCCTATTTAGTGAAGATATATGATGTTGGTGGCAGTTCACAAATTAGAGCATTGTGGCCTAAATATTACAACGATGTGAGTGATTTTTTTTATATATTTTCCAAATAAAGGATAAATTGCAATTATATAAATAACTTAAATGTAATTAGTGATAAGTAATTAATGAAATTATTAATAATTACACAATCGCTCATTATATTTGTATATAGTGTCAATGGAAGATCCCTCGCTATTGTATCTCTTACTTGACATCTTTTAGATACACGGTCTTATATATGTGGTGGATGCTAGCGATATTTCCCGTCTTGCTGAAAATAAAGTTGTATTTAACGAATTAATCACACACGAGCATATCTCGACGAAACCATTGTTGTTGTAAGAACTAAATTTACGCTTACGTTCGCACACTCTTAATTTGCGCACTCACGACCATTGCTTTATACACAGTGCATAATTCAAAGTAAAAAAAAGAAGAAAGGAAATTGGGCTCTGAATTATTTATACGTATATGTGATTAAGAACGTAATATAGATAAGGTTAGTGATATCACCGATGCTGCATTCTCATCACCTCATCATCGTGTTTGTAATACAATGTATAGACTTGCCAACAAACAAGACTTGAACGGTGCTATCGACGAATTGGACCTGGTTGAGAACCTGGACGTGGAACACGCGGCCAACGCTATGAAGTGTCCTACCAGAGTGGAAACATGTTCTTGCGTTTACAACAAGGAACAATCCAAGAGTAACACTTCTTTGGGCATAAGAGACGGGTATAAGTAAGTCTGCAGTCAGTTAATAAAGTCTAGATGCACGTACAAAGTGAGGATTCCATAACATATACTTCCACGTTTGTGATTAGATGTTGTTTTGCGTAGGTGGTTATTGGACACGATCGTGAAGAATTACACAGTGTTGAACAGCAGAACGAAACAGTCGCAACGATCTCAATGTGAGAGAATCAAGGATTCGCAGTCTGTTGCATCAAATACGCCGTCGAGAATATCCGTTCACTCGAATCCCTTTAAACCTATCAAAGATCTCTTGGCGTCGAAGGTGTGCAACAAATCAATCACACAATTAATTTTGCTTAGTCAAATTCTTTTTTCTTTTATTTATCTTTCATCTTAACGATACGTTTGGCAGTTGATGTAATAGCAATGCTTTAAAATTTTAGGATGAACTCGTGATAAGTGAGTCACGCAATGGTACGTAGTATCTAGCTGAAAAGAGAAATATATATATATACATATATATATATACACATACATATATATATATATATATATATGCTTATAATACGTTGATATGAGATAGAAATTCATGTGTGCACGAAACGTTTCTCATAGGTACCAGTGGCGGGAAAAGCATCGCGAAAGCTTTCGTGCGGAGAAACAAGACTGCCCCTCTTCCACATGAGCAATCGATTATCGAGTACGAAAATCTCTCGCCTAATGTGGAAGCTCTACAATCCCCCGACTTGGCCGGAGAGAAGAGCACGCAAACTATGACAACGATATTAGATCCCTTGAACTTGGAGATCGATCATCGCACCAGTTACCCGCACACGAAACTAATCCGTCCGTACACCGCGCCAGAAAGATCGCAACGATTACCGAACAAGATGACGATCATTAATATTCCCGGACAAGTGCCCCAATAACAAGATTTGTAATCTTTTTTTTATACTTAATTGATTCAGGGACCAAGTTGTACTTTATCTGTAATAACGTAAGTGCAAAGCCGTGTATTCGCAGCTACATCATTGCAGGAAACACTGTGCCCTTTCAACGTGCGTGGCTTTTGAACATTGCCATTTACAGTGAATCGATTTATATGACTGTATTAAGTTAATTAATCTCGTGTATGAAGATATATTCTTGCCATGTTGTTATAAAAGTTACCGTTTCCAAAGTCGCAGGTAATGCGAAAGTAATTTTAATTTTGTGAACATTATAAAGTATGGTGGTATTTATTAATAAATTTGTAAATCTCTATAATGTATATGTATATGTATTTATTTTATCTAATACAAGAGACATTCAAGAAATATACGTTTTAGTATTTAAAGAGGAAATATACAGTGTATGTACCTGATTGACTTCAACGTTAAAAGATGACAACAAAGCCGTGCGTTTTATCTCATTTATTTTATAAATTTGTACACAAGTCCGTGTATCGAAAGATATTACAAATATATGTGATACAAAAAAGCACACTTAGGTATCGCTAAAGCTAGGGTATAAAGATGCTGCAAAATTACTAATATATCGGTAACATTGATGAAAAATGCAGTTCCAAAAATGAATTCATGTGGCATTACAGCGCACACACTTATCACAAGGTACAATGCAAGGGACATTGTACAGTATTTACTTTGCAACCGCATCATTATATTTTTGAGCAATCACTTTGTAACATCATGTAGATAAGATGTTCATATTGCAAAATCACGTTTATATGATATAAATTGCGAACACTTGGTGGCTACGTTCAACAGAAATCAGCGCTCGATGATTATTGTACCTGAAGGGTATGTTTCTCCGAATCTATAAAGAATCTTAAAGCATACTCTAATCACAGACAATGACCGCTAAGCGCTTCTGCTGAGTGCAACCACTTCATAAAAGGAACAATAAGTGAGATCGCAATTCGCAGAAATTACTAGTGTCATATATAAATTGAGATGTCTTAATATATATGTTATATGTAGTCTTACATAATTTAACCGTAGTTATCAAACAATTGCGAGTGTATAAGGCATATGAGAATTCGATTATTCTTACTATGAAAGACTCGGTATCACGTTCCGTAAATTTTGTCTCTCTTATAATCACTGCCGCAGTCGCGGATATTAATAATTGATTCTTAAATATACTTTTACGTTTATTAAATTAGCAATACAGCACATTGCACACCCGCTGACGATACTTCGGCGTATTTACAAATAACTCATCCCAATTAATCTAATTATGGCGAAATTTATTTCGTACTTTCTTTTTTCAATCATTTTCGCAACGTCTAAATACTCGTAGTTGTTGCTTACAATTAACCACAACTACTTGTGTATTTTAGGCAGATTATATCAATTAAGTAGAACTGAAATACACATTCGTCGATGTCAGGCTATTGCTTGTTGCAAAGGACATACACAAATTGCTTTTACATGTTTGGTATAAAATATATGTATATACGGGAAAAAAACTCTATCGTGTAACCGATTTTGTTATCTGGGGATCAGGCGAAAACTCGATTGTAGGAACAGAAAGATTCCCTGTAGAAGAGATTTATATTTGATTTTTTTCAATTATCTTAACAGAGTTTTAGCCGGATGTTCTGATCATGATGAATCAGATCATGATGAATCAGATGTTTCTTGTCACCGAATTACCTGATTCCCATTTTATTACACGAACTGAGATTTCTTTTCCGTGTATGATTATAAAAATTCAAGACAGTCACATTGCATATACATATACTGATTAAAAAATATTCTATTTATATGCAACATCAAAATGCTATTGCAATAGAATGTATGAAATATTTATATTTCTTTCCTTTATATACGTTTCATATATATATATCAATATATATCTATATGAATTATGGATGAAAAATATTACGGATAGTTGCATATGGTATATTATTTAATATAATCGATAAATCTGTCATTTTTTTGTACTTATTATGTACCTTAATTACTTGCTAAATGAAGATCTCCCAGGCAAAGCAACTGCTTCAGAGGAGATTTCATGTACCTGCTAATAAATTTTTGTATTTCATACTTTAATGCTTATCATAAATAGTTGCACTATATATTCAGATAAGATTAAGAAATGATAACTTTCTTTTTAACAATTTTTTTATATCGTGATAAATCGAACTGAGAACAAAGAGAGAAAATGCACATTTATGACAGTGGTTATCTTATCTTTTGCAAAAGATAGGATACAAATTACAAAAAAATAGCTCAAAAAAAGAGAAGGGCAAGAAAAAAATATTATGTATAAAAGCTTACCATTGATGAGAAAAGATATTTTCTCTTATTATTTTTAGCTTAAATGTTACTCTAATACTTGCACGGACGTGGTCAATTTGTCAAGAATTACAAAACATACAAGATTCTGTGACCAGAATACAATACACGGTAATCGTCTAAGTAAAACTGACATGCTCCATTTTTAGCAGCTTTGATAAACGATTAGATCTGTGTATTGAATACATATATCAGCAGCACATAGCCTTAACACATATTTTAATTAGACTATTCATAATTTTTAATTGTTCATAGCTGTTTTTGGAGATTAATACATAACTATTACTGTAATAAACGTATCGCTTTGACATATAGATCCTGAATAAATAAATAACAAATTAATAACTCAGTCGAACAATATGTTAAGGCTATCATGCTGGTCTGTATACATGATTAGTAAACAGATAATTACTTACTTTATACTGCAGACTATACGAGACCATTATTGGAAGATTGGGTAAATCTTACCAAACGCGTTAACATAGAAGTGATGCATGGAATTTGTTTTTGCTGATGCATGGTAATATTGTCAGGTGTGTTAGATTCGAAATCTATGGCAACACGTTGGCATACAAATGTCAGTAGAGTCAACAGGTCATAGCGAGTGCCGTTTTCTCGCAATTCCATGCACAATGCCTGCATGAACCATGACCCACGACTAGTATTCCTCCAGGAGTAATAACCTGATAATTAGAAGGATATTTTTCAATTACAATTTAGTTCTTTACATTTTTACATTTTTACATTCTTACATTATTCTGAAGAAAGTTGTGTGTTCAAGTAGTAATACAAACCAGGTATTGTTGAATAAGCAATCAGAAAGTCTGCTTGACTTGGGATACGGAATGTTCCAGTTGGCAATCCATCTGTTTCAGTACGTTCCTTCAGAGTAGCACCTGAATCCAGTTTATCACCCTGACAGGCTTGTATAAAAAACATCTTAGGTTTACCAGCCAGAGATGGGCATCTATCAGCAGTGAAATGCTGCCAGAGAGAATCAGCTTTGTATGCAGTATCATGAGCATAGAGTAATCCAAGTTCACCATGACTTAATACAGCTACTACCAAGCAATCATGTTGGGAATGATCCATGTCTGCAACTATAGAAATAATAATTTGCTACTATTTCATAAAGTATATTTTCTATACACTGCATTTATTTTATCAAGTACTTTTTAAATGTTTTTTTTTTTTTAGTAAACAAGTAATTTTTTAGTAACAAGGCAAATAAGCAACTCAAAGTTTGGCTTACCCCTTTCTAAATTCTTCACTATATCTCTCTGATTTGAATTATGAAAATCATTTACTTCAAAACCAAGGTTTTTCAGTGTATTGCTTAAATTCTCACAATCAACATTTGTACCACAGCGAGGTTTAAGATGTGAGATAGTAAAAAATTCATGGTTAAAAATGATGGCTAAGCCACGTTTGGGATGATTCATGTTATAATGAGTAGCATAGCGTTCTGTAGGTGCTGTTTGCAAGGGCCGCATGGGAGCAACGTTATTCCTACAAAAAAATTTTATTTTATCCTTTTACTTAAATAACTTAATCGATTCAATAGATTCAATAAAATTCGGGAAACGGTTCGTTTCAATAAAGTGCCTGATCAATTATTCCATATTAAAAACCATTACTTCACTATAGTTGATGATATAAAAATATCTCATTTAGCGTGTCATATATAATTTCATTTTATTCTATTTCCATTTTGGATCAAAAGTTATTCATTAAAATTATATTTACAGAAATTCATGTCTTATTTTCACGTTTGCATATCTATCGCGGGACTTCATATTGGAGCAACATGAACAAACGATTTCGCATGTATGTTATGGGGGTTGATCATAAATTTTCTCCTGTAACGTAAACTCGTGAGAAGGGCGAAAATTTAATTTAAAATGTGGAATTTTGTACATTTGGAAATGTTCACGTGTTCATATTAGAAGACAAAATTTATGATCGCCTCTATGGTGTAGTCTGGCATGGTGTTTGTTCTTTACCTAGTGCAGCCGAACGCATCACCGACATCGTCGCCGTGCACCGTAGTGTAACCCTTGCTGTCTGGTTCCAGGGAACACATGACGTTGATTTCACGAGAATCTGATCACAGGGAAAAGGTAAAGTCTCGTAGTGCAGTTCTGTGATAACACGTCTAGGCAATACGTCTAAGCAATACGTCGTAGAAACAAGCTCCAACGTTCTCACGCACACAAAGCAAAATCGCTTCTGTCAGAAACGCGCGTTCTAGAAGGAATGGCCTATGTTAAGAAGAATCGCATAGAGTGGAAAATAAGTAATAGACTGAACGTCCCACAAAAGACTGCAACTGCATCTGAAAGATAGCATGACTGTGAATAGTAGAAGAGAAATATAGTTGTCCTTTATATTTCATTATCAAATCTCTTTGATAAGAAGACAATTTATATTTAAATTTGTATTTTTCTGTCCTCGATTGTCTTGGTTTCTCCCCATTCGATTGTCATCTAACATTCCTAGGAAGAAATTTATTCTATTGGACATTGAGTTATGATTAATCTGAAAACATATACCAATTAAGCCAGCAGCACACGGTGCTTGTTTTCGTGCTGGATTGCTTGCTGGATGAAAATATTGCGTTCTGATTGGTACATTCCCATCCATCTTCGGAAATGTACCAATCAGAACGCAGTATTTTCATTTAGCAAGCAATCCAGCACGAAAACAAGCACCGTGTGCCGCTGGCTTTAATCAGAGAGAAGCTTGAGAGCGGGCATGGCTGCATTTACAGCGTTATGGAAAAGTTGGCTGATTCGAAGCGCCAATTGGGTCCATTTTTCATGGACATGAACTACTAAGCCAATGTCCACGATTTGTTGGTACTACCAGAGAGAAGAATGAGAGCGGCCACCGGCCGTATTTCGGGGGTACGGCTAGGCGCATTTTAGATACGCCATCTGACCAAAATGCGCCTAAACTACGTCCGCTAGGCGCACTTTCGCGGTGATAAAAGTAAAATGCGCCTAGGTTCGTGTCCGTACTGCTTCCATGCAATGGATAGTAGGTTAGAAAAAGACAGACGACAGACAATCGTTCCGTCTTTGTCTCACTACTGAGCGGCGCGCGGCAGTAAACACGAGGCGAGGTAGCGGCGATCTTATCGTTAAGTGAACATCTCTCCGCTTTTCTTTCATCTTTCACGCTCCAGAGACATCAAAAGACGCGGTAGCGTCTCGTGTCAAGGGAACGTGCGAAGCGAGGAATTATTTTTCACGCACGCGAGATAGCACATGGGAGACTAGACGAGCGTCGACATATTATCTGTTTCTTTCCCGTTCGTCTAGCTTATTGACTGCGTGAGCTGCGAGATTTTTCTCGCTACTCCTATACCTCGCTCTTTCTCTCTCTCGCTCGTTCTTTCTCTCTCTCACGCACTTGCTCGCTCTTCCTCTCTTCTCGTGTTCTTACGGCTTGATTAAATATATTAATTACATGACAATATATATATAAATAAATGACACATATATAGTATATATGTATATAAAGAATATTTAGTATTAATGCCCAAATAAAGAAAAGAGAATTATAATGAGAGACGAAAAGTTAATAGAAATCCACTCTTAGCCAATATATACATCTTTTAAAAATGATTTGTTATTAAAGTATATGACAGAATAATTTATTTATGCTAATAAATTTAAATTAAAAATTAAATGAAATGTTATTTGTTTTGTAAAAGATATTCTATTGTTACATTTTTCTTTTCGTAGCAAAAATAAATTTAGTCTAGTAAAAAAAGAAATTAGTTTTATTATCATATTTCAATTACGACTTTATTATTTAATTTTACGAATAGATAACGTGCATATTGTTGCTCAACGGAAACCGCGAGAAAATGGTGATCTCCGTCAGAAAATGAATGCAAACTTTTTAATAATATAATAATTTTCTTACGTAAGTGTTTGTTTTTATAGTATAACCTGTTGAATTTTATTAATTATTAATTCAGCATGTTATATAGTATAAAAAATATATTTTAATATAAAAATTAATGTAATATTAATTGTTTGCATTTGTAAGAAATATGGATAGAATAGGATAGGTTGTAATGATACATAGGAAGAAAAAAGATAGATGGATAAATAGATAGATAGATAGATAGATAGATATAGAGATAGATATAGATGGATAAATAGATAGACAGATAGATAGATAGATGGATAGATAGATAGTTAGATAGTATAGAAAAAAAGATAAATAGAAATATAATTATCATTATTATTATTATTAATGTTTTCAGTTTCAAGAGAACATTCGCTTAAACGTAAGTCTTACTTAGGTCCAGTTTCACGACTTATATTATATTAACCGGAATATATTATACGATTTATATTATTTTAACCGGAATATAATTCGTTAATATTAGAAGTACCGAGCGGTTATTTCTGATCGTTTCTATTTTTTAGATTAATATCCTGTTTCTTTAAGATTACAGGATTTTTGTTTTGAGGGTTTGTTTAATGTGATGTTTGTAAAGAATGTATATAAATTTCTACATATAAGATTAAAAATATGAAAAATATTGCAGTGAAAGCAAGGAGGTTCCACGGTGCGCACGATATCTGAATAACTATTTGACCAATCGACTTGCAACTTGGCAGCATTATAAAATAGACTTCTCTTTACCGTTTTAACTACAATTAACCAAATTCATTAATAATTAATATTTTTTATTAAACTTTGCCGAGAGGCCAGAAATAGACGATTTTTGTTCTAAATGCTACCATTTTATTATTTGTGTTCCGATTGTAGTTCAGACGATAGCTATACTTATAGAAAATAAAAAGCTACTTAAAATAATTGTGAAAAATTAAATCACACATATTTAGAAATTCCTTGGAATCGTCTATTTGCAACCTCTTTGCTTTTACTGCAATATTTTATATATTTTAAATCTTACATACTTGTAGAAAAATGTATATATATTCTTTAAACATTATTAAGCAAACTCTCAAAACCCATAATCTTTTAATCATGTGATCTTTTTCGCTTCCGCAAAAAAAATTAACGAAATATACATATTTTTTGTCGGGTTGAATAAGACAACTCTTTAAAAACCTATCTAAACAAAATTACATAATCGCATCATTGATATGCACAAGGAAATCAACCAATCATAATCCGTACAAGCGTGCCTTTTATATTAGACATATTTTACATTTAATTAATCTGTTTCCTTCTCTAGAACAAATAATCATCAAAGGTCAAGATAACGTCAAAATTATTTTGACTTAATTTTGACATCATCTTCACTTTTATATAATTATTTGTTCTACTTCAGTTATGCATATGAACAATACGACTATGCAAGTTTGTCTCAATAAGTCTTAAACTCCGGTTAAAATTAATTATGAAACTAAATCTTAGCGTTTTTGAATCATCGGCATCTTTCACGATGTTACGATTATAAATATTATCTATATAACGAATTGTAACCTACACAATGGAACGCTCTTCGATTGAACCGATTGAAATTGCTCATATCAATTATCAATGATATATGGCCTTTCATTACATTCTCTAAGTTTCAATTGTTAATTGAACAATTCCTTTCACAAGTCAAAGATTAACATGCTGATTTGAAACATAATGCAAAAAAAAGCTCGAAAATAAATACGAAGCAGAGAAGAGATTAACACTGAATGATTATTATTTAATATGCAACTTACATTAACATGGAATGTCTAATTGACTTAATGTCTCGAAGCTACTGAATATGAATTTCTGCTCAAATCTCTTCCTTTCTGTAGGAGGTTTTTGGCTGTTTCGGTTACTTTCCTCTACATTTATATTGATGAGTTGAAGCACTTGTTTCTACGAGATGGTTAAAATTCGGTTGACTTTACGAGTGTTCAATCGTGATTATCTGCTAGCTTTGAAACAACAGAAGCGCAACGCTCAACGTTCTCTCCCCTCGGAGAGGTATTCTGACACGAGCGGCGTGGCAATCTATCGGCGACAGTCATCAGTACTCGCGGCGAGCTTTACGACTGCACTTCGTAATCCGTATTCTAACGATTCTCGTTCTTGTGCGGATTTTCAGTGTTTCTTATCTTAGCGAGTCAACGAGATTTCACAACACTTATTTTTTTCATATTTCTTTTCCTTAACGCGATTATATATAAACATCGCGTGTGCTTACGCGTGTGTTGAATCGCGTCTATTCTTCTTCTTTTTTTTCTTTTTCTTGTCACGTGTTGTGATTTCTTTTTTTTTCATCTTTTTTTTTCATATAGTGTATAACACTGTATATATTCTAAATTAATATACAATGTCAAATCAGTTCCGTGCAGTTCGCTATTCAAATACCTGTGTGTACAAAAATTGCAGTAATGGGAAATGTAATGGAAAGCGCCTATTCAGGTTTCCCATGCAAAACGACGCAAGATATCATCAATGGATATACAATACAGGTAGATCTTTATCTCAGCGAAGAATGACTTGTCGAATTGACGTCCATTTAACTGTAAGTTGCATATTAAATAATAATCATTCATTGTTAATCTCTTCTCTGCTTCGCATTTATTTTCGAGCTTTTCGCATTATGTTTCAAATCAGCATGTTAATATTTGACTTGTGAAAGGAATCGTTAAATTAACAATTGAAACTTAGAGAATGTAATGAAAGGCCATATATCATTGATAATTGATACGAGCAACCATCTAACTGACGTCGTTCCTAGACAGCACGCGATCACAAGAACGTCCGAAAGACGTCTAGAGGATGTTTTACGTCCTAAGAACGTCCGAAAGAAATCTGAAGACTTCCAAACGTCTTCCAAACTTCGTAAAGTCTCTAGCATATTCCTTGGAGATCTTGTGTTATGTGGCTTTCGATGTCGATCGACGAATCATTCCTCGCAGGGATCTTACTGTTTCATATATTAACGTCCTTTTTTTTAAAGAAAGGCAGATTCGTATATGTATTCTCTTAAAGTGAATCAGTAAAAATGTTTTTTATTGTATCAGTAAAAGGAATATTTCACCGTTTTTTGCTATTTCAATTTTGAAATGGTAAAAAAGTTTGATACCTTGTAATTGCAACTGTTCGGCTTATTATCATTCTAATATTACATATTATTTTAACAACGTTGCATTCTAAATCTCAGTACCACAAAATTCTCACAATCCGCGCGATACTCTTTAAAATATAATCAGTGCATTCTTTATTGAAACATTATAGTTGTAATAGAAGCTTTTGCTCTAAATATAG